GGATGCTGTAGACTACTATACTTCAGGGGCTCATTCACAGCCGTACTGCAGAGCACCAGTGGCTGCTGCAGAGCAGGAAAAACAAAAAGAAAGAAAAATGCTCACAGGGTGAGTAACCATCATATGATCTACAGTTGCCATGGCAACTGATCCCAGCAGTCAGCCCTTGGAAAGTGAGTCACATGAGTGAATTGAAGGAGACAGGAAGCATACTGTGCATACATGTTGTACTACTACTGTGCGTGTGAGAGAAGGGAGGGAGGTATGTTTTCGGAGTGTCTTGTGATGGGAGCGCCTGGGGTTAGCATGTAAAACCAGGGTTAGGCTGTTGCCTTTGTTTACTTTTTACAAACATTTCTGATCATAGCAGGACACGATGTACAGTAAGAACAGGAGCAGTTTGAAAGTGATCCCTGAACACCTCCAGTGTGAAAATCTAACAGCGCTGACACTTTGGTCGTAAATTTGATGCAGTGATAGCCAAGATGTTTATCAGCGGAACAGCAAACTGTCGCAGCAGATATCAGACACACTAGTGGCACATTCCACCTCTAATCCCTCAAACAATATCCCTGTCCCTTTTTGACTCCCACTGTCTCATTTCCCCTCTCTAAGCTTGTTCTGGTGACAGAGGGAGGATGTTGGTATAATCTGCTCTATGAAACACCTCTGCACGCTGCACCTGCACGACTATGTCCCTGACACTTGCGTTGTCTTGATAATGATCCAAATCCTAAGAGTTTATATGCAACAGACAGGCAGGAGTAAAAATATGGCGTGTGGAGCAGTGGCAGGCAGAGCCAAGGGCAGAATAAATTGCCGGTGTCAGGGAGAAAAATTACTGTGCAGTAAATGATCTATACACTTCGGCCATTAGGAAGCAGTGTCTTTTCACACCTGTAGTAGTAGTAGCATCACTGTGGACACAACAGCAAACTCTGACATGTCCATTAGGTGTAAACAGTATAAGCGCCTCCTCTGTCGTGGAGCTACAGACTGTGTCAGATAAGCTTCCACTTATATCAAGAGGGGAAATGTGGTGAATCAATAGTTCTATTCATTCGTCATGATAATTCTGCAGATAATAATATTGTATTTAATGGGGCTGTCAGGAAAGCATGATGACCAATCCAAACAACTTACACAAGAATCATCTTCAGTCAATACCTCTGTTGAACATGACTGAGAGCTAATACCTGTGTGATGCTTCTACTATCGTCCTGGGAACACTGCAGATGTTTTTTTCAGGATGAGCTGCTGACGTCAGCACGAGCGGGTGAGTCAAACCTGCGTCAGACTTCGTCGTGACTTGCCATAGTAATTTTTGCGTCCTGTGGGCGGCGGATTTATCCCACAACACAGCCACAACCACGTGGAAACCAGAGGTGTGAGCGGGTCCTGTGCGCGACAGACGGGTCTTTAAACGCCATTACCTGCAGCGGTCAATGTTGTTATAGCGGCCAAACGTGTGGCAGACTCAGCTCCTGCGTCAGACTTTACGCACCATGCGCCCTGGTGCGGTGTGATTTCGCGTCACTTTGCGCGCAGATATGTTGGAGCCACAACCTGAATGAAGACACATCTTTGGATTCATCCCGTCACGCTCACTCTGATGTTACAACCCATCCTGCAAACCACACACGGTAAGACCGACTGTACCCACTTCCACCATGTGATCGAGTTAAATGCATCTGTGCCAAATAAATCGCTTCGTATTGGTGTGAATTGCGCAGATAACCAGCTTTAGTTCCTCTCCTCTTAAATCAGGTGATGGAGTCGAGCGTCAGTTTTCACCTCATCACCTGACAAATGATGTTTTCGTCGCAGCTCCGGCGCTGATCGTCGCACATTAATCCTCTATCCGCGTTTGACGATGGCGCGCCGCGTGTGGCCGCATTCGGCTGGAATACAGATTCTCTGCTGATCACCACGCTGATTTACATCGGTGTTGTGTGTGTGCATCTCTGCATTGATTGTATTTGGGTAATTCGTTTGACCTTGACGTGGCATCAGAGGTTATATCTACATACAGTCAGCCCCCCAGCTGTGGTGCATGGGCCTGTGTGTAACGTGTTTTAAAGGATGCCTGAACATGAACATGCAGGTGCAGCGTTTTTTTGAACCAGCCACAATCATTGTTCAAATCCCAGTGAGAGGAGAGGCAGTTCACAATCTTATATTTTTCAATGAGTCCATGTTTATACTCAGAAATGGTTTTAAATCTAACTTGCATCTGCGTGCGTGCCTGGCTGCTGGATTGACACTGCAGCAGATCCCACAACCCACTGTTCCCTCCTGCAGCTTTGCCACAGTCACAGAGGCTGCGTGGTGTTTGCAGACGTCCTTCAGGAAATATCACGCCTGTCCTTTAAGAAGTTGATAGGAGAGAGATAGTCGACCACTGATGCTGCAAGGATGGGATTTCAATTTTGCAGGAAGAGCCATTGCTTAGCAACCAGACAAGATAAAAGTGGAGCATATCTTTGTGGCACAGACAGAGAACCTGGGCAGGTATATAATAATCAACACCAAACTGTCTATGGAGATTTAGGAATACACACACCTGCCTCCGAGGCCTATATGCACATGTTTGTTACAGGGGTCTGTTACCACCCCTCCCATAATGCTTTTCAAGAGTTCACATGTCGGCTACTTAAAGAGTCTACAGCACAAGATTCTTAAACACTTCTAATTCCCTGTATCTGTATCTCTGTAGTACACTGACTGCAGAGTATCATGGAAAAGAAACCCACTTGTGGCCACTTGATTACTCATAATAATGTGTTGTTCAGTGGATGTGAAAACCGGCGTTCTCTGTAATGCACCATCTGTGTCAACACATACTGCGAAACCCGGAAAGTCGCTTGTTTATCTCTGCATCAACATTGAAAACCTTCACTCCACACATGATTGAACAGCCAAAGAGAAAATCTATGCCCCCATCTTCTTGACTCATAATTAGTAAATGGGGCTGGTTGTTGCTAACTATACCAGCATTTCAGTTCACTTAAAAATAGGGCAAAATAAAGTGTGACAACCTTCCAGAGCTTCAACTCTACACAACTAAAAAATCCATGTCAGCAACTTGACACTAACTCATTTTTGTTTGCAAACATTCACAGCGTCGCCCCACGCCTCATTCACAGAGAGTTCGATGGTGACTCAGTATTGTGTGGTTGTAGGCTGCTGTGAAAAAAGGGTCACTGCTGCTCCGGGATCTGTGTCGAGCTCGCGGCCTCGGAGCTGCTGTGTGTCGTGACTACAAGGGCTCATCGCCACCTTTGAGGAATGTGATGTGCGTGCTGCTGGTGTGGACTCTGGGTGGGCTTAAGAGCTTGCAACCATTTTTGAGACGTCAATGTGAATAAAAGCTGAGCTCTAATCTCTGTTGCCTTGTCTCCAGATCTCACTTATCAGCTAAACCAGTAAACTGTGCACAAAGTCATTTCAGTCATTTTCTGCTTCTGAAGCTGTGTCATTTTGTATTTAAATACATATTACTTATTGTAAGGTTGACCTTTAGGTAATTAAAGTTAATATATAGTAGATGCTAAAGACCTCAGATTGATTTCATGACTTTTCAAACATTAACCAGTTATGCTTTTACACCCAGGAAAATCAATCTGTGCATTCATCTCATCTGTAAGTAGTGAACACACTTGGAACAGGGATCAATGAGCACACAAACACACACTGGGAGTTGTGGGCAGTGGCATCAGTTAGTCAGTTAGGTGCCTTGCTCAAAAGCATCATTTCAGCTTTTGATGTTGAAGGAGGCTTCCTGCCAGCTTCTGTAAACTCGAGGCCACAGCTGCATCTTCAACACGGTCAAGCATCGTGCCATTTTGAGTTTTTGTGCTTGCAGCTGGAAATTTCCGGTCTCCAGATTATAGGGTTTCACAGCAGAGATGAAGAGAAGACTGTGTCAATAAAGAACACAGATGATTTGTCGTTTAGAGGTTTAGAAAGACTGATATTTTCATGCTTTATCTGTAAGAAACTGACCATTGTGAGTCTGACAATGTTTCAGGAGGGAAACTGACTGATAAATCACCATAGAACTGTTTTAATCACTGTCTATATCTCAGACAAGGATCTGGGTGGTTTATTGCTGCTGCTAAAACAAATAGCAGCTGCTATTTGTAAAATCCTCATGTTTGCAGGAGTTTCAGGCCTCCTAGAATTTCAGATGCAGTATAGCTCACATGCTGCAATGTGATTTAAACCAGTTTCTTAAAGAGAACAGGGCTGTAGGATTATTAAAGGGCCTGTGATGAAGTAATACATGCCAGAGAATCTGGAGAAACTAACTCTCCAAACAATTGCAGAACAACAGCCAGTTAATACTGGAGCACAAGACTCTTTCAATACAACAACTGAAATGTTAAAACAACCTGCAGACAAGAAGCTGAAGCTGATATTTGTGCTCGGCGGCGTTAGTTTTACTGCATTCCCCTGAGACCAGACGGCTCACTGCTGTTCACATGACTCAACTTTAGTATAATGGGCTCTGCTGTGAAATGGATTGTAATTCAATCTGTGTCTCATTTACCATAATGAAGTGGATTACTGAAATACCTCACTTATGGCCCTAAAGTGCTGCAGCTTTGCAACCTCTGTAAAATACTCTATGAATTCACAATAATAGGAGGAGCAACACAACCAAAATAGTCCCATGTCATGTGTGACTGTGTGACTGTTTCCTATGCTTCAAATACCAATTATTGTCTTTTATTGATTGATTGACATAAATACCCAATAAAAAAATCACTTTATCCCAAAGCCCAACACAACAAATTCAGACATCTTGTTTATCTTGTTTGTTCAATGAGCTTTGTCAACCCCAAATATTTTGTTTATTTGTTTATTATGAGAAAAACCTGTCTCTCCTTATGAAAAATCTTGTTACATTAACATTATATGGTTTAAGTAGAAAAGTGCAGAAACTTTTAACAAAGCAACTACATTTCCTGTCCATCTCCAACCATTTTTCTTCACAGATCTAAGATAAAAGCACAACTTTCTTTCCCCGGCACCTTCACCTTGCTGCTGCCGCCTTCACCCCTCTGAAAGAGCTCCTGTGCTGCTGCCATGCCAAAGAACACCAAGGTGACCCAGCGGGAGCACAGCAATGAGCCTGTCACTGAGTCTGTGGCCGACCTGCTGTCCCTGGAGCACCCCATGGACTATAAGAGCAGTCAGATGAGCATGGGCCTAAGTCCCGGCTCGACTGCTCCTGTAAAGGCCCTGCTACCCTCCCCTGACCCAGATGCTGAGGACGGTCGGCCGGCCTGGAACAACAAGCTCCAGTACATCCTGGCCCAGGTTGGCTTCTCTGTGGGTCTGGGTAATGTCTGGAGGTTTCCCTATCTGTGCCAGAAGAACGGTGGAGGTAGGTGAATGGATGTCTGTCTGAGATCCTGTTGCATTGTAGCAGTTCAGTGTCTGAGCCACAGAAATCTGAAGGTTTTGCGTAGTCCAATGTGCAAAGTGCACAAACACTTCCCAGATTTGGAAGTTCCTAGTTGGGCCACCCATAGGTAACATTTGTACCCTCCGGGTGCTGAGTAATTGGAAATAATGAAGAATTGTATGCTGAGTCATGGCTGTTTATGTGTACTTTTTTTTATTAGTTCTGTAAAGTAAGTGACCAGATGGAATTAGTTAATTTAAAAGTATGTATGATTTTGTTCATATTATATAACCAGAATTTGCTTCACATTATAGAAATAAACACTTCAGCAATTACAGTCGATATTATGGTCAGTACCAGATATGGTCGGTGGTTACTGCTCTGGAAATTCTGTCTGAAGCTGAATCTGCAACCCAGAGACATTAACCGAGCACATGGTCTGAACATTTCATCAAAGAACGTAAAAAATTGTAAACTGATTAAACTGCATACTCTTTTTTTTGTGGATCCATTTGCCATCTGCTGACAGTTTAAGCAGTAACTGTGTAGTAACGTACTCCTCAGAATTTCCAATTTCCCGAGCTGTGAAGTAGTTGTTCCAACTGTTAGAATTCAGCAAAAATGTGGACACTGAATAAAATGTGTAAATGAATAAAACCATGACACCAATTTCCAATATTTGCAAAATAACGAAGATCAAAGAAAAGGATGAGGTGAGGCAGGCATTTCAAAGATAAGTGTTTTCATTAAACACTGGGGTTAGACACATGGTTAGGATGGATATGCAGTTTGCAAGTGACAAATTGACATTACAAGCTGATTTTAAAATTACTTTAAATTGTAATATTAAGGGATTATGTCAGCAACTTTTGTGTGCAAAAACATTCATTCAGTTTGTTGCTATGTTTGTTCACATCATGTGTAAATATTAAGCTAAGCTGCTGGTAGCAGTGATCTTCACATCTAACTCCTGCCAAGCAAGCAAAACTTTTATTCCTTTAAGGTAATAATTCAATATATTTGACTGATGCTGTAAATGTAAAGTGGTGATCATGTCATAAAAAATCTCTGAATTAAATTAAATGAAGACTGAATCTAATAAAAAAATGTGTTTTATAAAACCTTACAAGGGAAAACTTCCTTAAACATTAATTTCATATTGTATGCGTGATTTTGGCTACATTTTCATAGAGTTTTAATTTTAGTTTTCAATAATTATCAGTATAAATTGGCCTCAATACGTGAGGGTTACGGACAGAGGATGTTGCACCCTGTACACATTTTTAAGCTCCATGGGGGAAATTGTGATTCGTGAATATCAGCTATATAAATAAACTTTGATATGTTGCAGTACTCTTTCAATTTTTATTGAAACCTCCTCCTCAGTTCACATGTTGACGGAGATGCAGCCTCCTTCTCTTTGATAAATTGCGTCCTATCAACCAATTAGCCAGCTAATCACACAAGTCACAGGAGCAATCTCTTCAACATTTCTCTATGAACTTGAGCCGTCAGCAGCTACAAGATGAGGAACATTCTCCTCAGAAAAATGTGGTACCACTGAGAGGTTTAGCATCATATCGGGAGACCCTCCAGTCTAATCTGTATTTGCTTTTCTTGCACAGTTCTCAGCCTTATCTGATTGGTATTTTGATTTAGTGGTCTTACGATGAGATGAAACGGTTTTGAGCACGATGGAGGAAGTGGAAGAGTAAACATTGATTTTCTGGGCTCTCAGCATTGTTGGTGTGTGGGAGGTATGTGTAAAGAGGGTATTTGAAATGCATGATATAACAAAGCTGAATGTGTGTGTGTGTATTTGCACAGTTTAATAACGTGTGCAGTAACGAGTGTGTATCCCCCGCTGACTCAGTGGTAGGTGCTGCATTGTCTTGTCTGGGCTTGTCCCAGTAATGAGGACAAACTGCCAGAGACTTCTAATTTTGTTTGATTTGTTTTATTTCATTTTCTGGGATAAATATAGTCTTATGAAAGTCCAAAGACATGATTAGGGTTAGGTTGATTGGACTCTGATATTAAGTGTGATTTAGAATGTGAATGGTTGTCTCAATGTGGATCCTGTGACACGCTGGCTTCCTGTTCGAGCTGCACCACACGTCTCGCGCAATTTCCGCTGATAACGGATGGATATTTATGGCCTAGATGCACATATTCTATTTTTTTATATCTGTCTCATTATGTTCCGTCTTTTATTTTTGCTACTATGGAGCCCACTGCAAACATTTTCCAAGATTTGCTGAAATGTCTTGAGCTTAATAGCTTAATTACTGAACAGACCAACTAACTTCACCATCCTATGGGTTTATTTCTAGATGGGCAAAACCTTGGGTGAAGTAATTCATATAAGGTCTCTCCACCTGCGTGGTCTATATGCAATATTTGGTAGGAGAAACAAAGCTCCACAGTTCCCCACCAGCCTCTGTCTGGTGCATTTGTTTTAGAATAGACATCAAAGATCTGTAAAAGTCAGCAGCAGCACACATAATAATACCTCTGTAACATGACACTGTGTTCCTCTCTTTGTTTCCCCTGCCTGCTGCTGCAGCTCTAATAGCCACTCACGACGTTATCAGTGGGTCTGATTGAGTCAAACATCACAGTCATTTGTTTTCTAGTCTGGAAACAGCAGCTGTCCATCAGTGTGAGCCCGTCCTCGATGGCTTTGGATGGTTTTGTCACCATGGTGTCCATTCATGTCTTGACGTAAGCAGGTCTGAACATGCTCTCTGTCTCTCTCTCTCCATTGCTCCCTCTGCGAAAAAAAGCATATCTGACAAAGTGGTGAAAGGAAATTGAAGATGAAGAAAAAGAAAATGTGAGAGGGAAAAGGAGAAGACAGGAGTGGGAAACAGTGAAATTAGAGCAGTAGAAGATAGAGAGAATAGTCCTCAAAATAGAACCAGAAGGAGAGAAATTAATTATGTCCCATCTTCTATTTGTACCAACAGATTTTGTCCTTCACTATACATGGATTTCCAACACATAAAAAATATCAAAGCATTGTTGATTCTGCAGTAATTCCTCCTCCCTCTGACCTTGCTCTGTCTCAGGTGCCTACCTGGTTCCCTACTTTATTCTCCTCCTGCTCATCGGCATCCCCTTGTTCTTCCTGGAGCTGGCGGTGGGTCAGAGGATCAGGCGCGGCAGCATCGGGGTGTGGAACTATGTCTACCCCCAGCTGGGAGGCATCGGAGTTTCCAGCCTGATGGTAGGTGTCGACATTAATCCATGCTCATGACCTTCATTTAGATAATCAAAGTAGAAATCCTCTCCGATTTTGGCACAAGATTTACAGGTTCTCCCTATTGTCTTGATTGATGGATGTTCTTAGTCCACAGCCATGTCTGTGAGGCTGGTATTTTGTATATCATTGAACAGATGACGGCACTAAATGAAATAAAATATATTTTTTAAATTCATTCTCTGAGAAACAGAAAGATCTTTACAATAGCTGTGTAGCTGGGACTGTACATAAAAATGGATGACATGGCAGCTCCCCAAAAGTGAAGCCAAAGCATCTTGATCGCCACCTGGTGGCTGGCTGCAGTTGAGGACATAAAGCCCACCTCCTCCATGTTAGTCGATGGGACATGAACCAAATTTAACAGTCAGACAACATGTCAAACTAATACAATTGTTTCATTTTAGGTAGTTCTTATCACACTGATGTTTGTTTAAGACCACACTCCCACAGCTCCATCCCTTGATCATGGCTGCAAAGTCTTGCTCCAAATGCACAAAATGGTTTCATTCGTATTGAGGATATTTTAGACACGATGTCCATATTAATATACAATGATCAATGGTTTGATTGAAAAAACACAAAATGTCAACCTCACGATGGCACCAAAGGACCAAAGTCATTATTCTTTCATAGCTAGATTGTTACATGTAAGTTTATATATAGCATGGACATCTTAAATCTGTGATTGAATCATCAAACATCAAAACCACAAAGGATTAATAAAGAGGCAGTAAAATGACTGCAGCTGGATTTAATTTCCCTTAATTTCACAGCTCGGTTCAGTGATACACAATGACAACAAATGTGCTGCAGACCTCAGCCTGCTGCCTGCTCACATTACTTCCTCTTGATACTTGCTTGATACAGCAAGTGGCATCCAAAGACCAGTTCCCATCACTGTCACAATGTGTCCCCATCATCAGCAGGAGTAGTGACCCACCATGTCCCCACCTCCTCAGCAGCATAAAAACATATTCATTCAGTCGCTCAGTCAGTGATCTACTGCGTCCCTGTTTCTGTCAATCATCGTGAAAGAGATTTCATCAATTTAGTGTAAATGAGGGAGGGGGAGAGGGCTGGCCTGGGGCAGTGAGGCGTGTGGCAGCTCGGATGTGGCACAGGGAGATTCAGCAGCTATAAATAAACACCTTCTAAAACCGGACCCCAGCCTTTGCTGCTGAGAGCAAACGGCTCAATAATTTATACACTCTCCAGCTTAAGCTGTGTACTCGGCGTCTGTGCCCTGACTCAAGAAGAGGTAATCACCTCGACAAACTCGCAAGCTGCTCCTCCGCTGTGCTGTTTGTATATTGTCTCTTCAGGAGTGACACGTGTTTTTGTTTCCTCTCATTCCCCCTCAGGTTTGCGGTTTTGTGGGCCTTTATTATAACGTGATTATCGGCTGGAGCATCTTCTATTTCTTCCAGTCCTTCCAGTATCCCCTGCCTTGGGCTGAATGCCCCATCCAGATAAATGGAACCCAAGCCAGTGAGTCACCAAAACACAATACACTGGACAACACAGCAGAAAGTTTAACAGAGATGTAAAGCAAAAACACAACATAGTGTTCTATTGTTCAGTATGCTGTATTCATATATAGAATTATGTTTGGCTATATGCAGAGGTGACATTTACCCATTTACACTTATTATGCACTTTACAATTGTATTTCTATTTTCTTCTTTTTGCTCCGCTACATATATCTGAGCGCTTGTCACTGGTCAGTTGACGAATTAAGATTTTACATTCAGTCTATGCACTGGAAGATTCTCTATGTTAGGGCTGCAGTTTTTATTGTCACAAAATCTAGATTATTTCCAGCCTAGAAAGTGTTGTTTCTACAAAAAAGATTTTCACCTTAGTGTTTTGCTTGGAAAATTAGCAAATATGAAGGACAAATAAATGATCAAAATCATTGAAGGTTAATTTTATTTGGATTGACTAATAATTTTTTTCCAAAGTCTTCAACACTTTTAGACAGTGATAAGTTAAATTACATTATATTGCATTAAATCAAGACGAATGACACAAATATTATAAATACTTTAAACAGGACTGTTACAATTACAATGACGCAATGCTTATCACATATACAGTAATGATAATGAATTGAATATAATCCTCTAAAAGGAAACTCTCTGCACGATAAGTATCTTACTTTTGATACTTTACCTGTTTCAGGTCATGGTCAAAAAAACTGGACCAATTTTACCTAATGGAGTATTTTTAGGTTTACTTACTAGATGTCCCATTATTTTGTACATGTGCAGACGTCACTGTCCGAGCAAGTTTTAGCCACTTCCCTCCCTTTGCTCAATACTCTTGCAGTTGTGGAGCCAGAGTGTGAGAAGAGCTCAGCCACCACTTACTTCTGGTACCGCCAGACTCTCAACATAACCAGCTCCATCGATGACACCGGTGGCCTGAACTGGAAGATGACCCTGTGCCTGCTGGTGGCCTGGATCCTGGTCTGCCTGGCTGTCATTAAGGGCATCCAGTCCTCTGGGAAGGTACGGTGGTGTCTGTGGCTTCACAGCAGCAGCAGAGCCTGCAAACTGTCGACATTAACACACACTTATCTCACCACAGCACACACTCTCTGTGAAGATGTAAATAAAAAATAATTTGAGGAAAAGCTTTAAAATCCTATTTCTATTCAATGATTAATCCTGTTTTATCCACTGTGGTGATGCTTTTCAGTCAAAGACAATATGCTAAAGCCTGTCACCAGCACTTGTCTATTTTTGGATCTCATCTATATTATGGAGGAGAGAGACATGCAATATTAACAAGCTTAAACTGAACCAAGCAAAGACTGGTTCAGGATGCAAAAGATGGAAATGCTCCATTTGGCAACAACATCCGGTAATGTTGATCCAGAGAGTGAGTCATGTACCACCTCGCAACATCAGGCCCACGGAGGAGAGTAGAGAGTAGATGGTCAAGGTCTGACGAGTTTTGTTTACCGCTAAACTGTGTGATCTAATTATCATAGTATTGTATGTGATGCAACGGTTACCCAGAATGCTTTAGGAAGGACTTTTGACTCATCTCCATAAACCTCAAGGAGTCTTCTCCACATTTGGTTAGATTTCACAGTTTTAGTGCCAAGCAAACACAAAATCGTTCTGGGATTTGTTCATTGTGTGTGTGTGTGTGTGTGTGTATTGTCACAATTCCTCCTTCATGTGTGGGGCATCAGAAAACTGTGTCCATGGCAACACTGTCTGATGCTCTCTCTCTCTCTCTCTCTCTCTCTCTCNATACAAATGCTGCATCTATTTCAGTAAACTGTTAACTTAATTCATCTTATTGATGCAGTCACAACATGCGGCTTCACTTTCCCACAGGACTCCGATCTAGGCCACACAATCTTTGTCTGAATCCTATTGAAAAGAATCACATTCCACTGCGTCTGCTGCGTGCTTCTTGTTAGCCGAGGTGTGTGTGTTAGTGGGTCACATAGAGAGAGAGCCAACCAGAAATTGCAGGTCCATTTCATAACAGTGCACTGTGTGTTTGTGTGTGACGGCGCCGAGATCCCTCTATCGCAGAGACGATCTGACATCAGCAGCAGCACAACTGCGCAATGCGGCCTAATCTGGGAATCAGCATAGCACCTATTTCCTATAACCACTGCTCAGACAGCTGTGTGTTTTGGTGGGTCTCTGTTCACCGACACCTCTACTCGATCTCTCTGGGGAGTGATATTTGTGGAACACTGCAAATGCCCAATCCAACTACACAGAAATACATCAGACAAGGAGAAGAAAGAGAGATGGGACAGAGGGATTGAAAGGTTAAAGTGATGAGGAGACAGAGAGGAGGAGGAAAGCAGGATGACAGGAGAAGTGGAGGGAAGAGTCGATGAGGGAGGCGCAGGGCGCTGACAGTGTTTTGCAGGAGTTATGTAGATGTAATCCCCTCTGATGGGCAGGTCAAGCTGCTGCACACAGAGCCACTGCCCAGCCTGTGAGCACACACATGCAGGCACATTTTACCATGTGAGGCACGCTGTGTGCGTCTGTGCAGCTCCGTGTGCATGTGTGTCAGTTGAGCCCCTTGTTGCAATCCGGCGAGGCTCGTGAAAGGGGGGAACAAAGGGCAGATTTTCTCTTCAAGCTGCAAGGCCCGGGCCACAGAGGAGAGAGAGATGGATCTTCACCAAATGCCACCGTGGGCGAACTAATGCCTGCTTTGTTCACCACGGTAATTCTATTATGGTAATGGAGCAGGAATCCCAGCTTTCTTCTCCTCCTTGCTCCATCCCAGTTCGATGCCTTCTGTCTCTCTCTCTCTCTCTCTCTCTCTCTCTCTCTCTCTCTCTCTCTCTCTCTCTCTCCCTGTCCCTCACTCTCTTTTAGGTGATGTACTTCAGCTCTCTGTTCCCGTACGTGGTGCTCTTCTGTTTCCTGGTACGAGGTCTGATGCTGAAAGGAGCAGTGGACGGCATCGCTCACATGTTCACCCCTAAGGTGAGATGAAAAACGTTGGCCATTTTGACCCAGAGAAGGTGAAATTCTAAAAGAGGGTTAGCTCAGCAGGATGTTGAGGATATTTACACAATGAGGAGAACGTTCTCTAACACGTAAGTGTGTTGTGCTTGAGGGGAAAATGAATTCTGAAGCCTGCTGCCATCTCAGTGCTGATCACTCATACACAGATCACTGGTCTGGCACATATGTAAGTTGATGGTGTTCAGCCTTGAGCAGCTGATGGTTTCAGCATCTTTAAAATATAAACATAAACATCCCTATTATGTCAAGTGTTGGATTGATGTCTCCCTCTAGTGGTGTCTGTGATTACATACCAAAATAGACAGTGTACAGGAGCAGTATTACTTACTGTGAACTAGAACGCTAGCGGATTTAAATTTGCCAGATCCACACTTTTATTGGGATTTGCACCAAAAGGGCACAGACTCATAAATAATCCTGGATTAATGGATTATTCTCACATAAATTGGTGAAAATGTCATAAGACACCCCATCTGTCAGTGTTGAGGATAGTGAAAAAAATCCACTCATCCAATGTGAATTCATTTGTAGTTGGAATGTCTGCTGACATCAGATGTCAAAGACGAGTAAGAAACAACAAATTATGGCAGAACCATGGATTCATGGCTTTTACGTTTCACTGTGAGATCAACATTTTAGCTTTTACCCGATCTGTAAGTTGACCTCATACTGCCATATTTTACAACAGGGCTACACTTGTGGATTTCTCTGTTGTGATTTCAGTTTGAATTATTAAAACCAAAAGTGTATGTTAAAGATAAACCATTTATTGTTCATAGAATTTTGACTTTTTTACTGAATATTTTTATATCCACAGACTTAAATGTGGTTGTTAGTACAAATACATGAAAAAAGAAAAAGAACTGAATAGAAATTTAAAAAATAAAACAAAATAAAGGAAGAAACATAAAATGATGTACAAAAATATTTTTTTAATTGGCAAAAATGCTGTCAGTCATGTGTTCAAGGAGGCAGACGTCCATTTATCTATCTATCAAGAATATCTTTGTCATACTATAATACAGTTAAATATGAAGTAATCCATCACTTATCTTTGTTTCTCCTATGGTCTTCAGCTAGAAAAGATGTTGGAGCCGCAGGTGTGGAGAGAAGCAGCCACACAGGTCTTCTTCGCCCTCGGTCTGGGCTTTGGAGGCGTCATCGCTTTCTCCAGCTACAACAAGCGAGACAACAACTGCCACTTCGATGCAGCGCTGGTCTCCATCATCAACTTTGTTACCTCCATCCTGGCCACTTTAGTAGTGTTTGCTGTGCTGGGCTTCAAGGCGAACATAATGAACGAGAAGTGTGTCGTCGAGTGAGTGTGTCACACTGTAACACACACCACATGGCTTTCCTGATTTTCACTGTAATGTTTGCTCTCTAACACGTCCATCCTCTCCACATCTCTAATGTGCAGGAATGCTGAAAAGATCCTGGGCTACTTAAGCACCGGTGTGCTGAGCAAAGAGCTCATCCCACCTCACATCAACTTCTCCCATCTGTCTGCCCAGGACTACGAAGAGATGTACGCCGTCATTAAGACGGTAAAGGAGGACAGCTTCGGACAGCTGGGCCTGGACGCCTGCATCCTGGAGGACGAACTCAACAAGGTCAGTGAGCGAGATGTTTTCATCCCTCTGCATTTGTTTGTTTGTTTGTTTGTTTGTTTGAAGCAAGATTACGCTAAAACAACTGGACATATTACCATGAGACTTTGGGAGAGGATGTTTAATGGGTCTCGGAAGAAACTGTTATATTTTGGTGTGGATCTGGATCAGGGGGAGATCCAGAATAATTTTTGTTCACTTTCTTTAAAACGTATCTATGTGTGTAAAATTTGGTGCAGCTTGATTTAATTGAAGCGGACTGTTGGGCCTTGGTGGAGGTTTGCGCTTTACTGAGTGCCATTCTAGTATGTTATTTGTGTGTTCACTTGTTTGAGTCTTCATTTACAATTTAAAATTAATATTTATCTCAACAAAGGAAACACAAATATTGTGATCATGTGATAATTTCCTTTCTCCCTTTTTCCTGTTTTGTTGGTGATGGTGGGATTTTAAGTGTAAACTTATATCACATTTTATTAATGGATGTAGAAATGGAAGTTAATTGGTTGATTTTCCACATGTTTTTTTTTCAAGCAGCACATTAGCCATCCTTGACAAGCGATAACCTCTTTACCTCCTTCTCTCCATCATCCAGGCTGTTCAGGGAACTGGTCTGGCATTCATTGCCTTCACGGAGGCCATGACTCATTTCCCCGCCAGTCCCTTCTGGTCTGTCATGTTCTTCTTCATGCTAATCAACTTGGGGTTAGGAAGCATGATCGGCACCATGACCGGCATCACCACGCCCATACTGGATGCCTTCAAGATCCGCAAGGAGATCCTGTGTGGTGAGTCTGGATTCTGGTTTTTCAAATCAAAATTCTTTTACTTGATCTCTGCTTCTGACTGGTTTCTTCTTCTCTCCCTCAGTGGTCTGCTGTGTCATAGCCTTCCTGTTAGGCCTGCTGTTCGTGCAGCGTTCAGGGAACTACTTTGTCACCATGTTTGACGACTACTCAGCTGGTTTGCCCCTCACTGTGGTGGTGATCCTGGAGAACATCTCTGTAGCCTGGATCTATGGCACTAAGAGGTCACTTTATATTCCTCACTTTTTCCTTCATTTACAGGAAATATTCACCACAAATCAATATGTTTCTCTTACCTACAGTTTGTCTAATTTTGTCAGCACTGTGGCATTCGGTGACATGCATCTGATGGGACGTTTATTCTTCCTTCTTTCATTCATTCACAGGTTCATGCAGGACCTGGAGGACATGCTTGGTTTCAGGCCATACTCTTTCTATTACTACATGTGGAGGTACGTTTCTCCAGCTATCTTGGTGGTGCTCATCATCGCCACTGTCATCGAGATGGCTGTGAGTCCTGCAGGATACAACGCCTGGGTGGAGGCCGAGGTCAGTGTTCACTTTCTCCTGTCTATGACTGTGTTCTCTCCTCTCTTATTTTTCCATTCTTTTCATATCTTTTTTGTGTCTTTCTCCATCCTCTTCCCACTGCCAGGGCTCAGAGAGTTTCCATAGCTACCCCCCCTGGGCTTTAGCCATGGCCTACGCCCTCATTGTTGCTGCAATGCTGCCTTTACCTCTCGTCTTCATCGTCCGCCACTTCAACCTGATCTCAGACGGCTCCAACAAGCTGTCTGTCTCCTACCGTAAAGGCATGATGAAGGACATCTCCAACCTGGAAGAGCAGGACGAGCAGCGCTTCATCCTCAGCAAGAACCCCAGCGAGGCTCCCTCCCCGATGCCCGCCCACCGTGCCCAACTGGGCCCTGGGGGCACTCAGGAAATGACCAACACCAACTACGGCACCAGCACCAAGACGGGCTACCAGAACATCGGCTCGCCCGAGTCTGAGCTATGATCCGCTGAGCTTGTTGATCCTCCCGCCAGTTAAAACCCGGCCCTGCTTCAAGACAGGGAGTCAGAGAAAGAAAGGGAGGAGCAGAGGAAGTCAAGAAGGAGAGAAAATTCACTGCCAGTTGTTGCAGCATTCATTACACCTTAACCCCCAGAACTGAATCCCACTTTCCCCCTCCTTCCCTGGTTCATCGCTCCCTGCCTACGGTTCTTCCCCATCACAGGATTCACACTACTGATTGCCCATCAACCCCCGGCTGAGATGAAGGGATCATGGGAATATGAGTCCCACCAGATATGATGAGCTATTTCATCTGTAAAGGTATTACAGGGGCAGAGGGGGATAGAGGGTGCGACAGGGGGAGGAATGAAGCTATGAAAGGTCCATCATGTGCTTACATACAGGCTTTGTTTTGTAACGAGCTCTGGCTGAGGTTAAGGTGTGTGCAACACCAGATGCTTAATGTTATACTGAAATGTAATCCTACGTGTTTACCTGTCTGGAGAAGGTTATTTTTTCAGACAGCTGGATGTCCGTAGCTCTGGGAGGTCATCATCTTACTCTGGTTCCGTTGTAGAGGATTGTGATTTGTGGGGACAGGGAGGAAGACTCAGAAAACGAAACACACTCATCTTTGTCCGAATCTGTATCGCTGTATGAGAACGTCTCTCATCTACAGTATATGACAAAATGATTCCATCGCATCCATAGCAGTGTGTAATAAGTGATTCTGATAGTGTACACAGTGTTACAAGCACATTAGTATATCTTCACGTTTATTGTGCCTATCATGCATCAGCAATAATGACCAGTCAAAGCAGGGTCCTCTTGAAGCTGTGGATCTCCTTCTATCCCCCTTTTCCCCACTGATGTAGAATACTATACATTTGTGTCGTGCAGTAGTCTGAGATGTCACCGTAAATCGTGTATATACACATCTGTAGTGCAAAACGAGCGGAAACTATCCGTGTCCTTGTTTCTTTTTCTCTCAACACTGAAGCACAGATGCCCGCTATCGTTTCAGCATCTCTGAGCCTTAACACAGAGAAGCACTTTTCTTTCAAACAATCTCCTCCTCGATAAAAACAAGGCTCTGTGCTGCTCCAGTTGCAGCTGGGTCAGACAAAGCTTTTCCATTTGAATCAATCACTTTAATCAAGCGATTCCATTTTTAATCAATGCCTTAGAAGGACAGAGGTGACGGTGCACAGGTAGAGATAAGCAGAGGGGCTTAGAGCGGCAGACACAGAAGGAATAGGTAATGTGAGTTTTGTCTTTGTGTGCAGGCAGATATGCATGTGCGCGCGTTAGTGTGTTGTCGTCCACCGCTGAATGAGAGCTCCCGGCGACCCTGCCTGGTTAAAAATAGAGTTGTGTTACCCGGGGGATGCCGTGGCAACGCACCATAGATACACATCCTCTTCTGATGGGGAGGAGGAATAGAAGAGTTGACACCTTGCTTTGTCTGCTCCACCTGCACGTCTGTTTGTTCAGCAATACAGAGATGAAGTCCTACAATGATATTAATGCTACAGTTCATTGAATATGAGGTTCCTCGCTGTGGACTAATCACACCTCCTCCCTGAGAGGTTGATGTCTCGGGCTTAAATGTTGTACATTCCTCTAGGACGTCATTTCATAAGCACTACGATATTCACTTTGATGTCTTTTCTGTGGAAAACTTAAAGCTTTTTATTTTGTAATGTATAATATTGTATGACAATGTATGTGGAAGGGTGTAATGTGGAAAGTGTACCATGATATAAATGTTTGGAATAATAATGTTTGGTCGTCACCACTGGGCGTCTCTGCTGGCCAGCAGGGGGAGCCAGTGACACACAGTCTCCTGTGGCCCCTCCCTGAGACAACACAGATACTTGAGACTGAACAGATGTACTGTGAAGCACAGTCACATTGTTTTGGTGCCTGAGCAGCATCTCCGTAGTCTGTATCGCCTTATGCTTTTCTCTTTCTCATTTCTCTCGATCCCCTCGTTCATGTCAGCGTCTCGTTCACTTGAGCACTTTAATTAGACAGAGACCCTGGAGTTGTTTGTGAAGCACACATCTGACAAAAATGTGGAGGTTAAACATTTATCAAACTAATACTATCACTGAATAGATAAGCAATATTTATACATATACAGTAACTACAGTGTTTATACAATGACACAAGTCATTTTCTAATGTATCTTATCATAGAGGATATTATTAGCATTTGAACAGGTACAGTAAAAGCACAAGTGATGCTGAGTACATTAAAGATGGCTCTGTTCAGTTCTAGTGTCCCAGTCAGACATGACGATCCTGAAACTGAAGCAGCCATGAGCTGTAACAGGAGGTCATAGTAATAATAATACTTTATCTATAGAGTCATGTGGCCTCTATCATGGTTCTTGCATCGGTTTGTGTTTGAGGATAGCAAAACACAGAGGCTGTGATATATAGCAAGGGTTGGTATACACTTAAATGCTGATGGTGGTGTGACGGTTAACGCTGGTGCTTCATGGCCAATCGACTTGTGGCACCACATAACCCCAGGTGAAGACTCTCACCTGTGTAAAAAGTTTGGGCTCGGGCTTTAAAGCACATTTAGGGAAGCACAGTAACAAAAGCACAAACGTGAGTTTCTTGTCTGTTTAGAGGATCAGAAAGTACAGAGTAAGAAAGTAAGAAACTTGTAGATCACGTTCGTTATGGTCTGATTCCTGCATCTGCCGAGAGGTCAGTGGAGGGTGAAGCTGCTCTCTGAAAGCCTTCCTCACTGGACGCTCAACTGCACCAATAGTTTCTGTCACTGTGGTTACAGACCGATGTGCACGATATAAAGATGGAGTATGACAAACTACTGATGTGGTGGATATCACACAAAGAGCACAGTTTTATTTTCCTCTATTCACTGCTATAGATAGAAATACAACTTATCTCCATTCTTGGCACAGCAGGTCTTGCCTCTAATATTTAATAAACTCTTTCGAGGACTGTTAAAGCGAATAGGATATTGTGATATTTCATATTTATTATTGAAGACACAGATTCCAACTCCAGGGTCTTTTTGTATCGTCCATGTGTCGGCTGTGTCGTGTTATGTACCACAAAGCAACTTCTAGAGCATAACTCAGTTGATAATGTTAATACTGAGATTATCTCACCAAACGTAGAGTAATAGTGTATTTTATTTTATGTGCAGATAGTCTTTATGTGAGCAAACCATAGTTATATTTATAGTATTTAAGATTATGTATTTAATCTGTACATATTGATGTACATTCTGATGAGTATCTATAGTAGGCGTGACAGGATGTAAACTTGAGCTGTAAATAATAATTGTATATTTTGAGATATTTTTTGATTTTTGTATTGTTGGGTAATGTTACTTTAGAGTCTGTAGGTTTGTGGTGTTAGTGTGTGGTTGTTCTCAATCCAAATAGCTGAGTGACTGTGTGTGTGTGTGTGTGTGTGTGTGTGTGTGTGTGTGTGTGTGTGTGTGTGTGTGTGTGTGTTTTTGATGTTTAAATGTGTGGGTTTTTTCTCCTCTGTCAGTGTTGTGTGCTGCTGATCTAATCTAGTAGATTAAATCCTGTTGTTACTGTGACCTGGGACTTCTAATGTAAGCAATCTCTTCTCGTTGTTTCTCACTGGAGCTGCAGTGGTTTCCAGAACCAAACTGGAAACACCATCACAAAGGAATGTTCGACTGTAACAGAGCGTCAGAAACTTTCGTTTTTGATCTTAGAGTTATGAACTGTACAAACATGTTGGACGAAGCAAACAGGAAATTAAAATCACCACTTTTATGAAACAGAAATATGTTGTGTGTCATTTATTCTGGGTTTGAACGCCGTACACTTTAATCCTAATAAATATTCTGAGCCGCCACAACATTTAAAATGCATTGATGCATAATGGGTGAAGAAAACACTTAAAACACATGTAGCCACAGATAGTAGTAAAAAGGTGAGGAAAAATGTTATCATCTTAAACACATGTTCTGTATCAATCAATGACTTGCAACTAATTCAAATCTTAATGTGAATTTATAATTGATCAAACATTTCATCAAATATTATTGATCAAATGCTGTAGAGCAAGTAAGGGATGGTGATTCAAGGAAAATGTTCAGCAATTGGAGATAATATTTAAAACAAGATCAAGCAGTAAAATCTACTTAAAATATGTATAAAGTCTCAATTTGGAGAAAAATGATGAATAAAACGCTTCTGTGTTCTTATCTGTTTATTAACCCGCTACTGATGATAAAAGTGAAAATCAATTGTCGGGTTACTATTTAATAACCCGAAGAGGAATTTTTTATTAATTCCTCCCTCATCATCCACCACAGCTCATTTAGTCAAAGTGGACGACCTTACATGGGGCTCCTTTTTAAAAACCTCTTCCCAACTAGATTGACTAAATCGTTTTTGTCCAGCTGTGGAGGACACCGGGTCAGAAATGGAAGCTGCAGTTTGGTCTGATCACAGTGTTTTCCACCTTCTCCAGTTCAACCTACAGCAGCACTATGGGCTCAACTGTGGCGTGTGCAGGGCTGCGAGCTCCATCACCTGCCGGCTCCACACGGTTTCTCACGGTGGCGTTTAGATGCAGAACATCCGTGGTAGAAATGTTGTTGTTGCTATTTGTAAACACGTGTCCTCTGGTGATTTCCTGTACTAGACTTTGAGAAATGACTGAGATGAGTCTTCCTGTCTAATTGTAGCTTTGTGTCTGCTGAGTAGTGAATTTAATAAAATGCTTCTCCACTCCCACGGGCCATCTTGGAGTCCATAGAGTGATGTTACTTTAATTGATGTTGGACTGCGTGCACTTAGAATTGCAATAAAACAGGGGCTGCTGCTGCTATTGCTGCTGCTATTGCTGCTGCTGTTGCTGCTGCTGTTGCTGCTGCTGCTGCTGCTGCTGCTGCTGCTGCTGCTGCTGCTGCTGCTGCTGCTGCTGCTGCTGCTGCTGCTGCTCTGTTGGTTTTGGCCACACAGGTTGTGTGCGTAAATATCAAGCTATTTGTCTCCCCTGGTTGCGTCACACTTCCCCTTTTAAGTCAGCTGTCCGGTTCACTTGAAAGAACTTTAAAGAACGTCTAACTATTCTATATCCTGTCAACAAATAATTTCCCACCACAGCACATGAGACACAAAAAGGCTGTGTTGACTTGATAGTACACACACTGTGCATATGCAGGGATATTAATGGGAATCCCACCTGCAGCTTCCTTTACAGTTGATTATCTAAAAACAGCACAAGAAGCCAAGGGACCACTTCCCATTTTCCCACTGCCCCGTCACCTGGTCCAGGAAAAGGCCGTCCCTGGATATTTTTCACACTTTGAGCAACACTTTCCTGGCGGGTTGAGAGTGTGTGGGCATCGATCCATCAGTCATTTTCTCACATGGTTCTTTCAGCTGCTGAGGCCAGATGGTCCCGTGCGAGGCCTGTCCAGACGTCTGACCCGACAGCCACAACAGCTCATTACTGTTTGATCAGCTCGTCTCACTGCAAACAAGGCAACATTTAGAAACACTGTCAGTGAAGGGGGCCACATGTTAAATGGTAGAGGGACAGACAGTGAATTCATGCTTTGGAAATGGACATTTTATCTGACAACATTTTTTCAGGTTTAAAGGCATTAGAATGAATAGAAATAGTTCCGGTCTGATGCTTGGATCTTCTGCTCAGCAGAAAAAAACTGCATGGCTGCAAAGTTTGTTGTGTGAAAACGTATAGCATCAAAACAAAACCTTCCTGTGATACAACCAGTTATGCTCTGTTATCCTTCTAATCTAACTAAGCTTTTCATTTCTTCACATGTAAAATCATTTGTTCACACTGTATTTTGCACACTTCATTTTGTCTATCAGCAGGCTATCTTTAAACTTGTAAAATCAACTTTGTCACATACAGATAACAGGTACAGCAGGTATTTTGGCACAATTAAGGAAACACTGACTCTGCTGTGTGGCAGCTGCAAAGGGGACAGTCAAAGATGAGACACATCAGTAGAAAGGAATAAATAAACACCCAATATAAACACAAGGAAATATAAAAAACAGTCATAATACACACAATGTAAACAGAATACAGTATATAGAGTGTCAACATGATTGTACTATACTATATTTAAATGAGTTAAACTTCAATGATAAAAAAAACGCACCAGCTCAAGAACCAGAGGTATTTTAATTACATACATTCTTCTTCCTGGTCAAATCTTGGTGCCTTCATAACCCACAATGCACCTTGATCACTGACAATGTATATAGTAGAGGAGCTTCAACCAGAGATGAAAAGCTGATGTTCTGATGAACTTATTTCTGACTTTATAATAAACTTAACTCAAATAAATAATAATGAAATAAAATTGGATTCAATTAAATAAATCTATAATGATGTAAGGCCTCAACCTTGTCACTTGAGATAATGCATGTTGTGATTTGGAGCCATACAAATACAATAGAATTGTAATTAATTCTTAACTAATTCCACACCTCAGATTTGTTTCATCCCACTTTAAGTCCAAACAACTGTGATTCGAAAACTTTGTGTACTTTCCTTTTAGAGCCACAAAATTCCTTGTGCAATTTTTTAAAGAAAAATTTAAAAAATGAAAATTGAAAATGTATAGTTCCACATGACTATAAAACAGGAATAGAGACAGTGATCCTGGACTTGCATGTCAGGGAATAAATAGCCCAACAGCCACAGGTCTGATGTCCCTGAGTTAGAGAATTGTTAACCTTGACAAATGTTCCACAATTTCTTTACAACGAGGCTGAAAACTGGTGTTGAAATATTGTATATCCATATTCAGCAATGTCCTCGGATCCTGTTGAATATTGTGAAGGTGAAGTGATGATGAATGAGAGCAGTATTCATAATCAGCTGGGAGAGTATGTGAAGAAACAGGTAGAGCGGGTCACGAGAGGCAGCTGCTTCCGCTCCATTTATTTTTTCCTGTCGGATGAGCAACAAGTTCAACACGAGGATCCGTTTACTGCTGCGAGAGCTGGAGAGGTCAATCATCTGACGCAGAGTGAAGGGAAGCAGGAAGCAAAGAGACAAATCTAAGAAACATCCAGAGTTATCTTGTAAGATTTGTTTCGCTTACATGTAATCAGACGTGTGTGGAGGGGGGGGGGATACAGCTGAGGAAAAACACTGATCTTCATAACAGAGTATAAAGTAATGTTAAATATAATAATCAAGTGAATAATTATTCCGCACAAGAGCTGAGGAACACGGACTGCAGCAATTATCTCCACTCTCAAGCACTGCTGGACCACAATGCACCTTGTCTTCCTGGATCCCAATTAGATGGTTGAGTCGACTGCGGCCCCAGACACCCACTGACAACCAGCTGAGTTTAGAAACTGTTCAGAGGAGAACGTTTCCTGTTTCACTTGTGCCGTAGTAACGCTGTGCCAGAAATATCTCTGAACGGACGATGAAGACAGACGACTGTGTTTTTACCCAAAGCAGAGCTGATTGGCCGGTAAAAGCAGATGTTGACGGACATGGATAGAACATCTCAACAGTAAGTGAACAGGGGAAGTTAAAACATAACAACGATACATTACAGAAAAAAGCTGTCCTCTTTCTTTTTATAGAGATAATGTTTGCACACACAAAGTTGTTCCATTCATCTTCATATACGTAAAAGCTGTGACAGGAGCGAGGTAAACAGGAAGACTTTTGAAAACCACCAGGAAGAGAGAGGGGAAGCGCAGACATCACAGGATCCTTCAGAGGTGAAACTGTATAAACAGTCAGGTCCAAAGACAAACACATCTGACTGCATTTTTCAGTCAAGATTTAAGAGGAAATCTGACTTTTTGTATAAACACACTGCACTTTGTTTTGAAGTGAAAAGCCCTGGTGTCAATAAATCATATCATCTGATATAAATCTAGTCTTTTTTGACATTTTAATGAAGAATTTGTACATATTATATCTATAAGACACAGTCAAATTAAAGATTTTTTAAATAAACTCCCACAATACATTACTAGCTAGAATAACACAACAATTCTGTTTCAGTAAGTAGAGTAAACGTCACTTGTTACACAAGTAGAACTCTTAAAGATTTAGAATGAAGAGTTTTAACACATGTAAAACCAAAAAACAAAACACTCATCTAAAGTGAAGGACAGACTGATGAGCAGATGGAAATATTGACGTGCTTCCTGGGGTTGGCGTACAGGGAGAAATCTGGCAGCGAGCGGCAAGATCTCTGGAAATACTCGGAGCCAGTTCCTTCTCTCATTTTCTTCTCCAGCAGCACTTGGCAGAAATCCTGTCAGTCATGAATGTGATATTGATCTCACTAAATCGGGCATCATAACACAAAATACGACATCCGAGTGATCTCTACCTCTGATGTCCTGCAGGGAACCCCTTCAGAAAATGTGAAGGGTTTCATTTACTGCAAGAAATGGGTTTTAGGCTGTTCTGATCGACATTAGAACTGTGGCTGAATAATCATTTGTCTTTCAAGTATGTTCAAATTTGGACATTTATATTTAATTTACCTTTGCACTTCTGTAACAGACTACCACAGCTGTCCCACGGGGGGAGAGAGGGGTGTAGTGGTTTAACTTTCTTCAGATGGTTGAGGAGGCTGATTTGTTGCATTGATCACTACATTGATTGAGGCTGCTCCTATAGAGATCCTCATTTGTTGCTATGGTTTCGGATCTACGCTATATTTGTCTGTTGACACTGCCTCGCTCTCACCAGACATGGGGGTGTGAATGAAGGGCGGGAAAACACTGCCTATGAAGAAATGACC